AAAAAATTGATCATTATTTATTACACAAAAAGGAACAACTTTTGTCATGAACATTTTCTTCTATTTGCCTGTTTCCCATAAAAAAAAAATCATCAAAAAAACCACTTAATTTGTTTATAACTATTAATTGCACGCACTTACATAAAAAATACCACCGGATTCGGATTTCTTATACCCGAAAACATAAGAAAACATCTCAAAACCTTACCGCACTAGAAGTGCACACGGGAAGGGGGTATTGCGTGTGGACTAGTTATTTTTTCCGGGGAAGGAATCCCTCCTGTGAGACTATATTTCAACCGGAGGAGGTAGTATTCCCAAATTGGAAATAAAATTCTAGAAAAGTGGGGAATGGCTGAAATAGGAAATAAGAAATTGGAGGGTGTGTTAAAAATAAGAATTTGATCCGGATGTGACATAACACGAATTATATTTCGCCCCAAGATTTTTCAAGAAACAAACGAAAAAAAATTGTTGAGAATTTATTTTATTTTATTTATTTTTTTTTCCTTAATTCCTGAATTTTCAGGAATTTTTATAAAATTGACAATAGAGAATGAAATAATTTTACAATAAAATAAAACCAGTTTTCGTGAAATTTTTACTAGATTCCTTGAATTGTTTCTTAGAATTTAATTTGAAAAAGAATTTGATTAGAAAAATTCGAAGTAATTCTCAATAGATTTTTTTCTGTAATGAATTTTTTGCATTCCCTCACTATTTTTGTCATGGAAGGTTTTTTCATTTTTCTCTCGTATTTGAATGTTTTATGAGGAATTATTTCGTCCCAGGACTTTCCAAGAAATAGACGAAAAAAAATATGTTAATAATTCCTGAATTCCTAAATTTTCAGGAATATTTATAAATATCAATAAAGAAAAAATTGTCTACATCAAATGACACAATTTTCCAAGAAAATAAAACCAATTTCCGTGAAATTTTTACTTCATTTCTTGAATTTTCTTCCTAGATTTTAATTCGAAAAATTACCAAAAGTCAAGACTCTATACGATTAGAGAAATTCGAGGGCAATTCTCAATAGATGTTTCTCTAAAAGCAAATTTTCCTACAATTTCCTCTTTTTTTCTCATAAAATTTCTTTTTTCCCGCGTTTGAATTCACAAATTTGATATTTGAGACGTTTGAAAAGTAGGACCGTACGCAGAGAAAAAAAATAATCAATAATTATTAATTATTTTTACTTGACACTCCATCAAAATTCCTGCAGAGAACACTGATGTCTCCGGAGCATTAATTACGCATGACATTTACGTCGCACAACGCAATTTTCACGCGATTTTCATTGTCCTTTTTCCGCATCTTTCACAATTTAGTGCGTGAGACTTCATGTTTCCGCTCTTCGATATATAATTGAATGCTTTTAATGATTTATCGATACTATTGTCCTGCGATTCTAAACGTCCATTCACCATCTCACTTTTGTGTATTTTTGTAACCCTAATTATTCCCACACTGTTAAAAATTTTCGTCTGGATGTTCCGTGTCAAACCCCGGAAATTTTTATCATGTTTAATTTTCACTGAAACTTCAGGAAATCTTGTGATTGAAAAATCAAATATTCTATAGATTTTCAGTTTGAATTATCAGAAAATCAATAGAATACTTGATTTTTCAGTTCAATTATTCCGTAAAAATTCGGAAAATTCAAGAAAAAATTGAAAATTCATATAATTTTGGTTCTGAATATTCATGTTTCATTGCAAATTCTATCAAGCTGTGAAATTTCCGTCTGACTTCTACTAAAAACTCATGATTTTCCTTGAATTCTAAGTAAAACCATGAATTTTTATAACCATTTTCTCCCTAAATCGAATTCAGTGTCACTTTCATGAGAATTACTACCAGATTTGCCATGAAATTTCAAAAAATGTCTAACAGTGCTCTCGCGTATCAGAACACGGAGAGAAATTTTTGATAAAATAATATCCTACCGTTCTATAAAAATGTATCATGAATCGTTTCCTCATTTCTATCCCGAAATCTAGTAAAAATTAATATATGATGGTCAAATTTTATTCTACGTTAGAGAAATTTTACCCTTCCAGTCCAATAATTGTTGAGTAAATAACAACGAAAATTCTAGAACGGTTGGTAAATTTTACCCTACCGATACAGTAATTTTTACTCTACCGGCACGGTAATTTTTATTTTTATCAGGATAAAATTTCTCTAACGTAGAATAAAATTTGATCATCATATGTTAATTTTTACTAAATTTCGGGATAGAAATGAGGAAAAGATGACTCATGATACACCTTTATAGAACAGTAGGATCATTTTTATCAAAGATTTCTCTCCGTGTATTGGTGGTATTCGCGGGATTGAAAATAATTAAGACTCAGGTTATACACGTGTTGGTTTATGGTTGAGGCCTCAAAGGGGCCGCCTTGGGGTTTTGATCAGATCGATACGTATGAGGGATGCATATGATCGACCACGAATGCAACTGGATCTTGCGGGCGCCGTCCAATTGTCTTTGTGTTTGAGTGGAACATGAGCGGATGGAGCACCTTTGTATATATGCATTAACGAGGTATTCGCAGTATCTCGTGACCAGGGATGAGATTGAGGTGAAGACTGAGGCGAAACGATGCACAATGCACTCACGGTTATGGCTATTGTGGGAGGGGGATCGAAATTCATTGCTCTTCTGGACTGCTCTCGATTGATGGTTCTCACTCGAGACGATAAATCCCCTTTGAACGTGTATTTGGAGGGTTGTTTTCTGACGGAACGTCGCCTTTTTGTTTCAGTTTTGTACCAAAAGCGATTGAAGAAGGAGCGACGGGCGCGGAGACGTCTTCAGGAGCAACTTGACTTGGAGACCAAGAGGCGCACGCAACTGGAGGAGGCACTGAAAGCGACGGGCGCTTCGTCTGAACAAGTTAGAGCGATAGCTGGTGAGTGTATTAATCCGATAAAACCAGCAAAACAAAGAAATGAGTGAAAATACCTCTATTTACACTGAGAGAAAAGACTTCACTGAAAATTAAATGAAATTACCAATTTTTGAACAGCATTCGGATGACAATTCCTACACCTGTTTAAATTTTCTAGTACACGGAGAGAAATATTCAATAAAAACTACGTATCTTTTCCGTAATTCCCGAGCGAAATGTGGCTGTAGGAAATTTTACGGAACTGCCACGAAATTTTTCCAGAGCGTTCCGTAATTTTTATCTAAATCTCCTGTGAAAAATTACGATACCGTCACTTCAATTTTATGAGTCGATTCCGTAATCGGTGAGCGAATTGTGAGTTCCGTAATTTTTACCGAACATTTCTCTCAGTGTAATACACTTTTTTATTTGTGCCATAATAATACAGTCCTCGGCCAAAAAATTGTAGTTCCCTATTGAAATTATCATTTGTTCAGTGGAAATTGAAACTGTATTCATTGATTGATTTATACAATTGGAAGAAAAATGAATGAACGCCATTTCCCGTCAAGGGCATCCAGATATAGTTTGATTCGAAATTAATATCACGACTCCCCTGAGCTCAACAGCTGCCAATCAGCCTCGGCTCAACCATACGTTTGAATGAGAGAAAACTCTTGATTTGAAATTTTTATATTCATTTCAACAATATTTTCGTTGGCATTTAAACAGGTTCTAGATTTATTGCAATGAAAATGTTGTAATCACATGAAGTAATACTAAATTCTGCATGAATAAATTCGTTCTCTTCTCCGTCTGAAGAAATGTCTTCATTCGTAACTAATAGTCTTCATTTGCACTGAGAAAATTATTTATTTGATGTCAATACAAACAAATAAAAATCAAATTGAAGTTTGAGTAAAAGATTTATCACCAGCTATTTAAATAAACCCATTAATTTAATTTAAATTAAGCTTATTCAATTGAAATGAAACATTTGCCTGGGTGTGAAAGCGTTTGAATTCGTTTTATATTTTAATACTAAGGAGAGTACACTCATGAAGTCCTATGAGAAGAATAAACAAAAATTTATAAATAGTTAACGAATGCAATGCGAGTCTGAGGATCAAGACCAATTTTCCCTAAATGTATCTCAATTTGAAGGCAAATAAATGGACGCCATTTCCCGTCAAGGGCATCAAGATATCGTTTGATTTGAAATTAATATCACGACTCCCCTGAGCTTGACAGCAGCTAATCAGCCTTGGCTCACTCATGTACCGCGCAGAAGGCACGTTATATCGGAATAAGAGATTTCACTTAAAGGGTTTCGTGTTTGAGTTTTGGTAGTGACAGGGAGCGCAAGAAACGCAAGGAACAGAAGACGGAGTCGGGGGAGAGGTAGTGAGTGTATCTTCGAATTTTCAAGGTATAAGAAAAGGGGTGAGTGGAGATTACACCCCCGTCGGCACGGGTTTGGATAAGTAAGGAATCATATTCTGCTGGGTGTCAGGCTGTTTGCTCTGGCTCGAATTAATTAATTTATTCCCAAGATTGAGTAGCCTCGGGGAATCTTTCAACTGTAGACGAGTGTTATCCAAACAGTTGGAAGTACTGGATTTCAAGATTCTTGGAAGGTTTTGAAGTCTGAATTTTAATTCGCTATTGGGAAGTAGTTTAATATGATGGGACTTTCAATTTTGTATTTTTAGTAATTTTATTATCTTTTGACATGAAATAAATGATTTCTTGAGGCAAGAAATTCTGACTTTATCGCCAAGTGTTCGTGTTCAAGTCATGAACATTTCACAGGATTCTTCGTATTCTATAGAAAATATAATAGAAATGGCATTACAAATTTCCATTTTTGATAATACAACTAATGTATGTACGATGATTTTCTTATTTTTCATTGATGAACATTTTGAACGTAAAAAAGAAATTCTCGCGAGGTACAGTATTAGCCTTCAGGGGCGGTGTGAGTAGTTAGACAACAGTCACGCAGTGCTGATGGAACAGTGTGAAAAAACAGTCATCAGGACAAATAAACACGGCATCTGTTCGATTGTTATTATCGAAACGGACCATTCTTCATTTTTAAACATGCAGAAGGGTGAATTTATTTGAATAACAATTAAATATGAGCGTCTATCTATTGGTCTGGTTACCCTATATCGACATTTCTCTCAGGGTATCTACACTAAGAGAAAAATCGACATAATATCACAAAAATCATTTCTTGAGCGAAAAACATCGTATACACATTTGATCAAATTATGGTAGATTTCAGACAAGAAATCGGTTCTCTTCAGGCTAAGAAGCAAGTTACTGACTGAAAAGATGATGTCTTTTTGCGAAATGAGATAATATTCCTTCAAAGACAACAATAGTTTGGACAGAAGGAAAAGAAGATATTGCTACCCTTCGAACTTGAAGCGATTGGCGTAAGAGACGGTTATATTTTTTTAATATCTGGAGGTTTTCCTTTGCATAAACTCTCTATGCACTCAATATGAAAGTCTCCGATTCATGATTCACTGAATCGAAGCTTTTAATATATTTAGTAATTTTCTCACCTTCTGACACGAAAAAACCGATTTCTTGTGGCAAGAAATTCTCACTTTATCATGAAATGTTCATGTTCAAGTCATGACGACTTCACCGAAATCTGACATTGTCCGATACATTATCCGGAATTCTTATCCCAAGAAATTAGTTTCGTGATATTATGACGATATTTCTCTCAGTGTAAAAACACTGAATTTCCGGTTGGATTTCGTCTCGTTTCGTATAAATATAATAAAATAATCTAACATTGCTATTTTTTCACGTACAGAGAACGTAGCAGCGGAGGCACGTACAAAGTCAGAGCCAGTGGACGACATACCAGCTCACTCTCAGTCCCAAACGTCACAACAATCATCCCAGCAACAATCATCCCAACAGTCCCATCAACCGCCACAATCCCAACAACAGGCCCAACAGTACCGGGAATCCCAGGTGCCCCGTCCACCACAACAACCAACAACGCCCGACTCGATAAAACCCGGCTGGGGCTATGGCCTGGATCTCATCGGTGGTCAGGCTTCCGCCTTCTGGCAAAATTACCAAGGTGAGTCTTATTTGCACCTCGATGAGGATAAAAAAGGGAATCCACCTTTTTTTTTCCACGAAGCACACTCTCAGTTTCACTATTCCATCAATCCCACCTTCTCATGGTCAGTCTCATTCTCATCGCCCCGGGGACTTGTCCCAACATCACAATGAGACGTGATTCATTGCCCTCGACTTGATCTCAACATTATTACTAGAGTAAATACATGCTTATGGAATTGGGGCTTTCCTGGGTCAAATTTCAACCAAATTATCGTGATTATGGTGCGGTGGTTACGATGTGTGATGTATCATCATCGCGGGGGGAAAATTATGGAGCGCGACGGAATGCGGAGTGACACATTACGATTTTATTTTCGTTTAACGCGTGTTTATAACCTTTCATAAACAACGTAAATAGTAGAATTCTCGATTGCAGAATATCGATTGTTCTTTAGAATATTTTTTTAAAATTAAATTCATAATTTTCATTGATTTTTTAAAATTCGATAAGAAAATTAATGTAATATATGATTTTTCAATGATAAAATTTTTTGAAATTTCAATGGAAATGTCACTGGTTGGGAATTTTCAGATTTCATTCGGAATTTTCACAACTGATTTTAATGCCAATTTGAACATGAATATTCAACATAAAATTAGGTTGAAATTTCCTCATTTTTTTCAATTTTATTGGATAATTTCACTAAAACCTATAATTTCTTTTTTCTAATTTTTTCATCAACTTATGATTTATTAATGACAAAATGTCCTGAAATGTCAGTATTAACATCACTTTTCACTTGCACCTCAAGACTGTTTCATCAAAAATTTCCTGCTCTTTCTGTTGAAGACAACAGAACGTAAGAGAAACGGTTATTGAATAGAGAACGACACTTCCAAATTGACGATTTCACAAATTAATTAAAATACTGTCTGTAGCAAATAGTGATAAAATGGTCACATCCACCACGAGGAATGGCACAATTGAATCAACTGAAACTCTCCACTTAAAATTTCTCTATTCATTGTAACAATCTTTCATTGCTTCTTTTATTGGCTTCATATAAAGTATAATTAATGTACATATATAAATTATCGTCTGGATATGCTCCAAGACACATCATCCCCCACCTGTCAGAACCCCCAAACCACCAAAACCTTTTCCAACCCCTTCCCTAACAATTAATTGTCCAAAAAATTCGAATTTCACTCCAATAAACTCCCACAGTATCCAAAAGATTGCCACCCTAACCGGATCAAGCTCCAGTCAATTTTTCTGACCTCCGGAGCGCACGGAAGCTGATCCTCAGATTATCAAGAGAATCTCTCCATATCTACACCCCTTGCTGAGAGAAAAAAGGTATCAAAACCAAAAAAAGAGCATAAAACGAGTCGTTATATTCTGGTGAAAATAAATTATTCGAAGGACTCGGAGCGAGAGCAATCACGACCGGGGCAATAACATCCCTGTACGGTGTATAGCTACGAAAATTGCACGAATAAGGGGGTGGCGGGTGGGGGGAGTGTATGAATATACGCATACACCATGAAGAGAGTGAGATACATGTATTTGAATAGGGTACCGCCGCTTGGGCATCATGATGCGGAATCCATTTGCAATAAACAACGGAGATTTAGACGACAAAGGGGGGAGGGGTGGGCTTGGGGAGGAGGAGGGGAAAGAGCACGAGCTATCGCGGAATGGGAGGGATGAGGCTGTCGTCTTCCGTGGGTACTTACGCCACCGAAGAGACCTCCAGGGGCTGCTGCTGTTGCTGTTGTCTTCAAGTCATGCATTCTATACGAACCCAGTGGCTCTCGTCATATTCTTCTGGAAAATATTTTTTAAAATCGTTGCATGGAGGAGGAAAATATCGAAAACTTAATTCAAAGATTTATGCAATAACAATTTTAGGATATTCAGATAATTTTTTCACGGAAATCCCCTGCAACATTTGTGTTTTATTGAAGATTTTATTTTTTTTATCGTTATTTTACATCGCTTCGATCCGGGTAGGGTATTCTGCGATGAAAAATATTGTTCGTAACTCGTGAAACAATGTTTTTTAGCTCGTTACGAAATATACTAATTCAGTACTGATAAGTGTCCATACGAATCTAATTTTGATGAATGTGAGAAATTAATTCGTGAAATTGTTTCTTTCATGATTTTTTTAATTTAAAAATAGTCCCTCGTTTGAATAGGGTGTTTCGATCAGTGGCAAACCTGTACATTCGAAAATATTTCCCTCTCCGTGACATCGCCAGTGTTCAACCAACGCAACGCTACCATTTCCCCAGAAACATAAATTATTTATTACGAAAGGTTGACATTGACGAAAATTTTCATATTGGACATAGAATTTTTAGTTGATTTTTTCTAAGGGAGATAGCGAAATTTTTGTAATTACATTTGTTGACTTGTACCGTTTTGCCACTTCGCTACTGAACTGAATTCGAAAAAAAATCGCAATAACCGAATTAGTATTCGCGATACAATAAACAATGATGCGTGTCTCCTACTCTCATCTCGAAAATAAAAATCCATTCCGTAATGGTACTGTAAAATATAAGATTGAGAACCGTAGTGCATGTAATGTCGAGTTTATGCACATATCTCTTCACAGTAAAGGTAATTTCCCTGGCGGCCACCGTACCTCTCGGTGGCGTTACCTGTCCTCTCCTCCCGTCCCCACCTTTATCCTCACCACCACGTCTCTCTCACTCCACCCACTCCGAGTGTTTCGCCTTCCTCACGCTCAGCCGGCACATTTCCCTCTCACTTTATTCCGCCAGCCCCCTCCCTCCCGCCAACCTGAGAGTATGCTCTCTGGCACGCTTTAATATTCAGACTATATGCAATAATTCCGCAGCAACCATAACCTTCCTTCCATCTCAGCCTCCTCCGACCCAACTTTTTTCGCCTCTGTATCTGTCTCGCCTCTTCAAACACACGACGTGGATGTGCAAACATGAAGATTTTTTGTTCTTCAATTGAGAATAGTACAGGGAGAAAAAAAATTAGGAAACATTATCCCGAACGATGTGATCTTAAATTGAATTCAAATTCACAATATTGAGAATTCAAGGGCCACTATTACTAAATTTTCAAAAAATTTCGAACGATATAGTAGAAAATGCAGTGACTCTAGTAAACACCCGGATAGTTTTTCATAATTAATACTGGAACTATTGAAATGTTTTCTAGACTTATTGCATTTTTCTTTGGAATTCAGTAGCGAAGTGGTAAAACGGTTTAAGTCGACTCATTTCCCAGTTGAGTTTTTGAGGAATATTTCCAAATCTAAGGGAGATGGCCAAATTTTGGTAATTAGATTTGTTGTAGCTCTCAATCGGTTCTGCAAAAAAGGTCATAACAAAAATTTAGCTATCTCCCTTAGATTCCGAGATATTCATTGAAAACTGGTCAATAGTCAAAATTGATCTGTATCGTTTTACCACTTCGCTACTGAATTATAGTCAAAAAATTGCGAATGGTCGATACGTTATGTGATTACTAAAATTCAGGTATTATTTCAAACAGAATTTATTCTTCTCTTCCATGCAATTATCGGTAATTACACACAGTTGGCCTCAATTTTTCTTTTTGTTCAAATTAAAGATCAAGATTCCTCATTCAAGAAGCCTCTCCTCTCTATAAAGTTGAGAATGTTGCGCGAGAAAGTGAACACCCCGTGTCTGACTACAATTGTACCTTTTCCATTAATCCGGCGCTCCACTCAATTGCAGTGCTGATGTTTTCAATTCCATTTAGTTTTTCCCACACAGTTATCTCTCCTCTTACTCACATACGATCTGATGAGGGGAACATCTCGCTTTGTTTTTCCCTCACACTTACCCAGAGTGGTAAGACTCCAGGGGGAAAAAACCGAGAAGAGGATTTGAGATTCCTCGTTTCCAACCCACCCACTGCGCCCGGAACGTAATAATAATACTGGCGTCATGGCTCGAGGATTATCATATAAAAACAAATGTTACCCAGCCGAGGATTCGGGTGAAATTGAGTCTGAGGTAACGAGGGTGAGAAAGGAAGGGGAATATATTTTATAATTTTTTATCAGATATTTTCCCTTTAAAATATATTTCATGCAGTCTAAATGAATTTAGATATCACTGAAAAGAATATATAATTATAAAATAATAAATTCCGTCATTTCCATAAATTGTTACCAAAACCCTAGTGAAAGAATCGATAAAATGACAATAACAATTAAAAAAATAAAATTATTCCACTGGAAATTACACAAAAATATTGAAAGGTCAATATGCTGAGAAATTACTATTTTCTAGGGGTCATTTTTAATAGGAATTTTTCTACCTGTATACGGAAAGAAAAGTTAAGGAAAAATTATCCAGAAAATCTCGGCGAATCCCATAAAAAATATTTTTTGTGTAGGATATGTTCGACGATACGTTCAGTAAAAGAATCACATCTGTCGATGCAAAAATTACGATGTACTGTACAGTAATATTTCCCACACCTGTACAATATTTTTTCGCCTCAGCGGGCGCAAAGTATACATTTACGCTTCGCGGGATTGAAATTTTCGAAAATTAGTGCCATGTCTCTGAAAATCAATTTTTTTTTCTCTGTGGACAAAAGTGAAAATTTACTGTACCGGTGGGAGAAAAGCACTTTTCCCCACGAGTGTCGAACCCTATTTTCCATCATAATGTGTTCATCACAATGTGTTTACGTACAAGTGATGAAATAGTATATTTCGACATGAGTAAGTAGTAGCATATTTCATTGCGTTAAAGTGTTTTTCATTACTTGTGCGTAAAGCGAAATTTTACGCACGCTTCCCCTGCGCAAAACTCAACTTTCTACACTTAATGTTAAAAAATAGGGTTCGACACTCGTGGGGAAAGTGTTCTTTGACCCTTGGGAGGATACGTAAAAGTGTTTTATGTTATTAGGCCCGATAAACCGTGATTCTAACCTCGCTTCCCTTGGTTAGATCGCGGTTTTCGGGCCCAACGACATCAAATAGC